AGACGGAATATCTAGGATCTACGGATTGGGATGTGATTGTCAGGTCGTCGGCGTATAAGTATATGTTGGTGTTGGGGGGATGTGGGATGTCGGAGTTGTAAATGGTGTATAGGTGTGGGGACAGGACGGTGCCCTGGGGGACACCGGCCTCCATGGGACGGGTGGTGGAAAGGGAATCTTGGATTTGGATGCGGAATTTTCGGTGGTGTAGGTAGGATTTTATGAGTTTGGTAAAGGATATGGGATATTGGTTGGTGAGCATTTTCATCAGTAGGCCTTCATGCCAAACCGTATCGAAGGCCTTTGCGACGTCCAGGAAGACAGCACCAGTGTACTGTCCTGTTTTTGGCGTTCCTGGAATACGTCAAACACACGATCGCTCATGTGGGTGTGTTTCGAACGATGCTTCCAACACTGGAAGCTCCTTTGATGCGGCTTAAATTTATCGACATAAACCCAAACGTGGCATGTAGCCAACGTTGGACACATGCAATCGCCAGCGTCCACCCACACGATGTGGCAAATAGCGATGCGTCCAACGTTGGAAGGGATCCGCCACATCGTCTGGGACCGGCTTGACTTCCTATTTCCCAAACTCCAAAGTATACTCTACCGCACACCGTTACCTAAAGAGGTGTCCCACCAATGTTTCTCAAACTGGAAACTACGTTGACATAAGTGTATAATATCTCAGGAGGACTACTTAGATGGGGATGGTATAAAAATTTAAGATTAAATAAATACTTTGAGAAAATTAACAATTCCCGTTACTTTTTGATCAAACCTCGTATTACCTGTTATAGATAAAAATAGCCTGATGTTATAAATAGCTCAGCTTTTATGTTTAAATTCTTTTTGGCTTTGCAGAAAACATTCTTTTACGAGAATGACATCCCTAAGCGATAAAGCACCTGAAATTCGGGCAACTTTCTTTCATAAAAAGCTTTAGTTGTATATATAGAAACATTTCTATTGAAAATAATAAAAATATAATTATAAAATGATTTATTTTTCACTCGCTACCATCTTTCATTGGCGACAATATATCTACGCAATCACATTATATTTTTTTCATAAATACTAGTGCAAAAATACTATAACTAATTGAACAGCCATACTCTCATTCTCTCTATACTTCTTTGTTCTTATATTGTTTTATAATATATTTCATTCTAAATTTATTACAAAATATAATAAAAAAACGAAGAAAACCTGTTAGGTCTAGTAGAATTAGAAAAATAAATATACAATACTTTTGTAATGAAAGCTCAATAGTAAAATTACTTATGTACAAATTTTATTAACAAACATATTAAAATCAGTACAAATTATTAAATGTCTATATGCAAACATATCGGTACATTTTGTAAATAACGTATAAATAAATATGGAGCAAGACAAATACACATATTTATTAGAATGTCTATTTTATCAGTTCATAACTTTAGCAACCGATTTTTGGCACACAGACATTAAATGTGGAAAAATTTAAAATAGGAACTGCCTAGTTTAATAAACTTACTCTAATCAATAAAGCTAAAGCAAAATAAATAGCATTGAGGCAATGGTGGCCCTTAAGATGAACTAAACGTAAATTGATATCTCAAGAATTTTATAAAATGAACATTAAAAACGTTTTTGAAAATTTTAATCAGATCAGATGGATTAATAACAGCTGTCTTTGAATCTTGAGAAAGTACTCATTGTCTCATTTTTGGAATCTTAATTTAAGCATTATTTGAAACTTGAAAATATTTTGTTTTACTGTCCATATTTGCTGGAGAAACTATGTGGTTTAACAACACCTTACCAACACAATTGTCTTAATGTGCAAAAAACATGATTTAGTTTTATAAGTTAAGCTACGAGATAAGTCAAAGTGCTTACTTTGAGCCCATGCCGACACTTGCCCACAAATCTTGAAGTTTTTAGGCCATCAGGATCCAAAGGGTGTAGCGATCGACATCCTTAGATTTGACAAATTACGCATTTATCATTAGTATTTATTACATGTATTACCCTATTATAATAGTTTAAATAACAAATTGCCTCTTTTTGAGACGCTTTTTTAGATCTGAGGGTATCGACGGCGCTGCCTCATGGCCGCAGGTAGCCTATTTTCTAAAACTGTGGGCAGTATCAATAATTAGACAAATGCTCTTGTCTTGTATACCTGTATATTGTAATGTTAATAAAATTACCAGAATTTTTTAAATATAATTACAATAAGTTCAATATACTTACAGAATTTTTTCATTGTTGGTCAAATCAGATCAACTGATTTTAAAATCAGGTTGTTTTGATAGTTTGACAGAATTTAAAAGTACACCCTGACTAGAAGTTTGATATTCATGCAGGATTTCAAACTGTTATCAAACATCATACTGCCATTAATTTCAGTAATCCAAGTTGTCTGATACTGAACTTTTAAGTTAATTTTGAATATATTTCCTTAGGGTTTTTTGAGTAATGTGCAAAGTATTAGTTACGTTACATGTATTTTCTTTTAAATTATCACTAGTTATGTACAGTAGGACCACACATTTGGAATAGAAAAGTCAAAATTAAGTAAAAACTATTAAAATCGTAGCCTCCATGGCAGTATAGAAATTAAAATATTTTCATTTTCCTCTGCTCTTCAACATTCATGATATACTATTGTATAAAATTTGTTATAAAATAAAGGAAAATGAACAGTCGCTCCTCGTAACCTTGATCAAGTGATTTGTTAAGTTAAGTCAAATAAAATCATCTGCTCTGGCATAAATACAGTAAAGACTCTTTAATCCGAACTAATTAAGACACGGGCTTAAAGAGATAAGTTCGAATTACCGATATTTTCAGATTACTGGATAGTAAATATGTACGTATAGATATTTATGTTTATGTACATACATATAATATGAATTAGATTTTATGTTACTGAGAAGGCAAAAAATAACAATAGAACCAAACATTATCGTAAAATATGGATATGCATTTATTAAAAATAAAAAAGAAGACTTTAAAAAAACCAATTTATTTGGAATATCCACTTTTTGCAAAAGGGTTAACGTGTGACGCGCTATTTTTTGCGGCATGTTTGCATGGCAATAATATTTCAACTAAAAAGATCTAATCAAGAAAGGTTCTGACTCGCATAAAAGGGTTTCCTCGATACTGCTGGAGAATTAGGTTTTTAGCGGTTACTTTTTATTATGTAGTCTAACTCTATATTCCAAACTATATACGTTAAACCGAATTTTGTTCGAATTAAAGAGTTTTGTTCGGACCACTGAAACGGGCATTCGACGGGCCGGATTAGTGGATATTCGGATTAAAGAGTCTATACTGTAGTTAACATTGTTGTGTTTTTACTGCTCAGATCTGCTTCTAATGAACATATTTTAATTTAAGAAATAAATATTATGTATTCATTTCACATTTTGGGTGATTTCCTTTTCACTTTGGTGATATTTGAGGCTTGAATTGATTACATTTGAAAGTAAAATTTGGCAAACATTGGTGGCAAGGCACACCACTGACTTCTATTAAATATGGACCGCTCCACATTTAATTATGAGTACTGTATAGAGAACGCATAAGCACCCGTTATCGAGGGTGTTGAATCCCTTTCAAACAGTTAAAATTGGCCTCAATCTTCCACTAAATCAGATTCGGGGTAGTTTTGGCCTGAACAAAAGGGTTACGAGGATTGGGGGTCGTGATCAGCACCCTTGAAAACGTGAGAAAACATATGGCTTGTTTTTAGGACAAGAATGAGAAGTAAGAGCAGTTGGGCCGTTCGAGGCAGTTGCGTAGGTTGGGGAGTATCGTGATCAACATTTTCACGATCAGCACGATCAGCAGGGAGGAAAATGGGGATGAGGTTGATATTATAGCTGCAACAAATATTTCCCTACCTTCGTCATTCTTTCAGTCCACTATGTACCATTTTGTATCATTGCCACTCAATTCATATTAACTTTATGGCTTTATAGGATATAAATTCTGTACAGGGGATATATTTCTTCTGTGGCCTAAATTTAGATAAAATAGCTAATCCGTTTCAAGTTTTAACCTACACATTTCAAGTAAAAAAAAATCGAAACATGATTAAAATCTGATCAACTTGATTATTTTGCGAGTTTTTTTTTAACTTGAACTGGTTCATTATTTAAACGACAATATCAGTGATTTTAATAATCGGATTAATTTGATCACAGTTTCCGAAGTCTTGAAGTTTTCGTAAGATTTTGCAAAGTAATAATTTTAATTTGGTATTATTGTAATTTGGCAACTGCAACAACTATAACAATTTAGATATTATGATCCACCATACTAAAAATAAAACAAATCTTAAAAAAAAGTTAATTAACTATCGAACTCTAAATTGCGATAACTTATTTGTTTTGTAAATATACATTATAGCTACCTGGGTTTATAGTTTTCATTAATCATCGTAAAGGCCACCACTTTAGATGACGGCTACACAAACCAATACAAATAATGCCTCGTTATTACATGCGCTTATTGTGAAATTAGGCACAGTCTCCTGTCAATATGAACATAGAAGGACTTGGTGAAAAAAAAGTAAGTAAACAAGTTTCAATAGATATTGTAATAATGTACAATTCTCATCCTTTCCACCTCTATTAATATTTATCACTTACTTTTCTTTAGCCAAACTTACTATAGATAAAATGCTTACGTCCCTAAGAAAATACAACCTATATTACTAGAACTGCAAAGCGAGAATAATAAATTGAATTAAAATCTATTACTATATATTATATAATACATGGTATATTTCATAACATAAAATTATGCATTTCTAGTAACATGGGATATAGTCTGTCACATGTATAGTACATTAGCCAACTGTGGCTTTCCTAATGCTAGTGCTGTTTTGCAGTAGCCTCTTTTGCCGCTAAAATCAATGGAGTTAAACTCGCAAGGGGACGAGCTGTCTTCAAAAATGGGTGCTGAAATGGAAGGTTTTTTAAAAGTCTCACTTAAGGACACTGGCTCAAGATGGACTTTGTATTAAAAATGTTGTTGTAATTTTAAATGCAAATTAAATGTGATCTAAACAATTTAACTTACCTTTAACAAATCACGGGCAGACGATCTCGCATCTACATCAACCTCCAAACAATTATCCAGAAAATTTTGGAAGGCAGGTGAAAGTTTTTCTTTCTCTTTAATTTCTGGTTTACCATGTGTGGCAATGAGATATAGGGCCCTAAGCGGATTTTCATTTAAATAAGGTGGTTCCCCTTCTATCATCTCTATCGCCATAATACCTAGAGACCAAACGTCTACCTAAAAATTGAGAAATATTTAATTTACAAACCTTATTTCATACTTTATCGAAAATCATTAAAAAAATGTCAAAATAACAAAAATCTAAAACCTCATTTAACAGCAACTAGTAATTTACAAGAAAATGAGAGTGTACTAATACAAAGAGCAAAAACATATGGCAATGTCTATAAAATGATAAAATACTTTACAAACCTTAGGCCCATATTGCTTTCTAGTAACAACTTCAGGGGCCATCCAATATGGAGTCCCTACCATTGTTGTCCTTTTTGATTGTTCTGGACTAATTTGAGCACAAAAACCAAAATCAGCTGAAATCAAATAAATATGTTAATTGTTTCATTGTAGATCTAAATCTGATAAAGAAAAAAAGCCAATACTATTTGGGGTCAGTCTGATAAACTAAAAAAAAAAAAACATAAAACACACCACAGAAATGAGACAACCCCCAAAGCCAAAGGCTTGTGCGGAGGGGGGCTACACTTGAAAAAACGCGGACAAACACCCATTATCCATCTACATTGCTAGTGCCGACACCGGGGATCGAACCCGGACCAAAGTAGGAAGCCTAGCCGAGAAATGCTTGCCACCGCACTCTCGACCGACTGCGCTACCGTGGCGATAAACTATCTATTTAGTCTGATAAACTAAAGGAAAAATTATATGCATGAAATATACATGTATATATATTCATAGTATAACTGTGGAATTACTAATAGGTACTGAAAAGTAATCGTTTAAATGACCCCGCACAATCCTTATGGAAAGTGGCTTTCATCAAATTTTTTTTAAACTGATGTGTGATAGTTCTGATCGCGTGGATGAAAAACCTCAATGGGCACAGTCTGAAAATCCTTTGTTTTGGACCTAAGGGGACAAATATGCTGGAGTGCCGCTCCACGTGCCAAGCGCCGATTCACTAGAAAAGTATAATGTATTTCAATGGACCTGCACATAGTGAGGATTTAAGCGTTGCGATGTAGTGAACGACATAGGGAGCGATACTTCACGATTTTTTTGAAGCGTGTCAGTCTTGAGTTGCATCCATTGTGTGCAGGTCGATTTTATGATGGACACAGAACAAATAATTAGTTCTGTATATAATAGAAGGATCATCGGAATAGATATGTTCTTGATAAATTGTGGGCAGAAGTAGTTGAAGAATGTAAAAAAACTTGTTATTGTTATGTTGTTTATTTTCTACAATGTAGTACTATTACAAAGATAATAAAAATATTAAAGTGACAATCACAAATAATCAGTTTAATTATTAATATCTAATTGGAAAGTTATTTACGTAATCTTTAAAAGTATCTCGTATTGCTTTTGCATGATTGGATATGCCAAGTGCTATGATATATGATATGCCCTTTGTGCCAAGTTGTGATCTTCTTCAACTAATGCTAGATGCCTTGGAAACCCTTCTATGTCAATAATTACATTATGTAAAATACATATTGCCTTAATAATTTTGTCGGCAGTCTTTTCATCCATTTCTATAGCTTTAGAAAGAATTCGCCATTTTGAATATATTATTCCAAAAGTACATTCTATCGTTTTTTGGGCTCTAGATAATCGTTGATCGTTTTTCCAGTATATAATTAAACGTATTTATCTCCATTTTGAGATATTCGAAAAATCGTGCAAGATGGTTTTTTAATTGAAGGAAAAGATTATAATATTGTCCATTTTTTTCCTTTTTCTGTTTGTCGGGTGTACCGAATATTCTCTATAACTTTGTAGTATTAAACGCAAAGCAGCGTTATTAAAAATAATTTCATCCTCGCTGTCCGAGAACATCTTTGCAACTGTGACAATAAAATAAATCGTCTTGTTTGTAGCATTCTTTGACGCTTAACTATACATCAGTTAATCTTGAAGCGTCGCGTCGAGCGGCGCTCCAGCGTATTTGTACCCTAAGTCCCCTGAAAGTTGAACTTTTTTCCTCTTATGCTATATAATAAGAATACAACAATGATTCTTTTTTGTAGTAAATGGTCCTTGTCCGATCGACTAGAGATATTTTTAACTTCCAGTTTCAACCGGAAGTAACCTTTTATGGGAATCGGCACAAGGTCAACTTCACAGGTCATTTAAGGCTTAAGAAACACATTTTAGAAAAAAACGTTTTAAACAAAAGTTTCACATTTTTCGGTGTTGATTCGAAAACCACTATAAAAAATTACTATTTTATTTGAAAAAACTGACTTCCAGTCCGAATAGGCTACTTCCGATCGGAAACGGAAGTTGAAAACATCTCTAAACAATCGAAAAGGGTCCATTTACTACGAATGTAATGTAATTTTACAAAAAAGAATCATTGCTATATTCTTACTATACTATCCAAAAGAGAGGACTTACAGACTTTGTGCCCATTGAGACTTTTTATCCCTGTGATCAGAACTATCACATAGCAAAGTTTCAACAAGATTTGCCGAAAGCCACTTTCCATAAGGATTGTGCAGGGTCCTTTGCCACTGCAGGTTAGATGAAAAGCAGACCCATGGAAGAACATAAATGTATCTATCTCATTTATGTGAATATTTGATGCAATGTTGCTAAAGTCTAAGATACGTGTAGTTACCACAAGTTACTAGAGACCAATTTCATAATCACAGTAATGTCAACTTTAAAATAAAGTATGTTTTTATTACTCATGAGGGATAGGTCCTATATTTTCGCTTGTTTTTTTAGGTTGGTAAATAGTTGTTTGCCTACTCTATTTATTTGCATGCGGTAATCATACTTGTCACCCACAAATTAATAATAAAACACGCAAAATTTAAATACCTACACACTCGAAAATATTACTTTCAAAAAGTAACTTTTACTTAAATGACAGTTGATAGTTATTTACGTCAACCTAAACTGAATAAAAATCTGTGGATCTCAACAGGGCTTCGCCTCTGGACCCTAAGACTTCACAGCATTCGTAATAAAAAATAGTATGTATTTGCAATTCCTGCTGTTATCTATTGCCCACTTGAGCGGATTAACACACTTTGTTTGTACACTCAATTCCACTCTCGTGGGTAATAGACAACTTACTGCACTTATTACACAATATACTATAATTAGCCTACTAATATATTCTTGTAACAATGCTTTAGTGCTCAATTAAATTTAAAGGACTTTTTATTTCATTATGAATCAAGAATATAATGTAGACCTGACAGAGGCACATACTAAAATAAAATAATTTTCATGTAAATATCCAACACCTAGAAAATTGTTTCTTTGCGACGCAATTCTTTTTTTTACATAGGCCCTTATGGCACAAAATAGTATAAATACTTTTTTCCAGTTTAGTTCAGTTCTCGAATTCAGTCAATTCAATTCTGTACATTCTCTAGCAGAGTTGCCGTTCAGTTTTTGAATCCAATTTGGTTTTGAGTTTAGTGCCTTCGAAAGAGTCCCTGTCACTCCCAATTGAATCCAGTTTAGTCTTGAATTGAGTTTAGTGCCTTCGAAAGAGTCCCTGTCACTCGCAATAAGTTCTTCACAAGCCCCTAGACCAGCGGTGGGCAACTGGCGGACCGCGGTCCAGATCTGGACCGCGGTAGGTAAAAATCTGGACTGCCAAAAATTTTTTGAAAGTATAATTACTCAAATTATTTAAAACATATTTTTTTTTGTAGATAACAATACATTTGAGTGACATTCTTATCATTTTTTAATGGTTAGTAGGTTAGTTAAAAAAACTGGCTTAAGACCGCAAATGTAATTTCTTCCATTGACTTTTTAATACAAATATGACTATCTATTGTATTTCACAGTATTTTGGGAATGCAAATTAAAATAAAAAATTAGTAACCAATATGTTTTTTTCTAGACCTCGTTTAAAATTTTCAAAAGTATCCGGACTCCACCAAAAATTACTTGCCAACCCCTGCCCTAGAGGGTTTACCACAGTTTCAATTTTCAAAATTTTCAACACACGAATTATTTTATTTTTTCAACAACCTTTTGGACAAACTTTTAGATACATTTTGCATGGATTTTTGGTTATCGCACATATATTTTTGTAAAGTATTTTTAGTATATGTTTTCAAAATTATTAACTTACAGCCTATACTTCGCGGTCGAAATTATAGAGAGTGACTCATCGCTAGCTTTTGGACTAGTAAGGGGGATGAAGCGTGCCGGGAACGAAAATCCATTGGCGTGTCTGTGTAAAAGGCAACAAGATATAGAAAATATTGAAAAAAGATAATAAAACATAACATCTAATATTTTTTACGGTATACTATAACCGGCACTTTGATCCATTTTAATTATTACAGCATTTTAAAACGTCCCAGTTNATAAAAATAAAATCCAGGTCACTTGTAGTTCATTTTTACATACTAATTGGTGTTTATGCATTAAATTTTTTCTCGACTGGACTCCATAATCTTTTTTATACCCTAAGAACCTCTTATAAAGGTTTCAAAACCACAAATAGTTTTCTCTTTCAAGAACACAGGGCCGGCTTTCACAAAATTTCCAGTTGCAAACATCAAATTCCCTGACTTTCATGAATATTTTTAAAATTCCCTGACTATTCCCTGTTTTTTATGAAGAATAACGAATTCCCTGACTTTTCCCGGTATTCCCGGTTTTCCCGGCCGCTGCGAACCCTGTTATAGTCATGGAATTAGACCCCTCGTCTACGCTTATGCTATGACGTTTCTCAGGACGGATAAATCAAGTCCGTTTACACCCACTAAAAAATAATTTCCCTATTCCCTACCAAGTGCAAAAGACAGAGATAGAATATAGATCGACGTTCAGTGTAACTTAGTCTAGCGGCACAAAGATAAATAATATTGAACCGTATAAAAATCATTTTATATTTTATACGCATTATGGTAATAGTGCTTTTATATTATGTCCGAGTCACTCTCTATAATTTTGACCGCGGAGTATAGTTCAGCTTAGTGTAGTTATATATATACAGTATTGGACAACAGTAAAGCAACAAACTGCCAATTTTGCATTTTTCATTTTTTTATCAATTTAAAATTGGAAGATGACAAGAAATAAACTTTTATCCAAATGGTTCGTAAATCTTAAATGTAATCGTCGCCCATATTAAACAGAAAGCTTCCCTTCGACTGATCTACGAACTGTGGGCTCACAGACGTTTAAATTTCCAATAACCGCCATAATTCTGGAACCTGACTTCTATGAATCCGGGCGACAAATGCGTTTATAAATCTGTCGTCATTTACTGATGTTTTCCTAGGTCTGCCCGACTTCAGCATATTATTTAAATGTCCTGTTCCTTGAAACTTGGACAATATCCTTGAAACTGCATATCTGCCCACTTCAAACCGACATGTAATGTCTGCCTGACACTTCCCGTTATTAAACGCATTTAATATTTTTTGCTTTAAGTCAGTACTGATAGGCATACCTTTAGGCATTTTAAGAAAAGTTATTAATATTGTAGGATTAACAATTATTCACTTAAATATTAAAAAAGAACAAATATCGAAAATAACAAATAAAATTAATAACTGTTGCTTTACTTTTGTCCGCTTAAAATTAGCACACTTAAGACAATAACCGTACGACAATAAAACTGAACTGTCACACCCAAAATCAAATAATTGAATGACAGCAACTTACTACGTAACGCTTGATATTACGTTATTTTCTTCATTTTTTGTTATCACTTTAGACAAAGTCAAAAATGTTGCTTTACTCGTCCCGTGGAGTGAAACGACTGAACCTTATCCACAAAAACCATCATATGAACGAGAACATGAAAGAGGCACTTTTTACAACGGAAGTTGAAGTTATGTTTTTAAAAGTCAAAAGCAGCTTTATTATTACAACTTAACCATCATTTACAGTAATATGAAATAGTTATTAACGTTACAAGGCCGGTAACAAGTAAATAACGGGCGAGGTGGAGTTTGTAATCCGAGGCGTAGCGTAGCATAGCCGAGGTTTATAATCAGAGATATAGAGTAGGGAGAAGGCTCATTGACTTCTGCACATCCTATTTTCGAGGGACACTACCAGTGCCGCCATTTTGAACATGAACTGTCATTGTCTATGAACACGAATTTGTTTTGTTTTGATTTTTGAGGAGTGAGGAAGGTTATGTTTCGTGAATTATTTTTTAGTTACTATTTGTTTATATACATATAATTTACGCCTGGAGCGGCAAATTGGCGCTGTGGACGTTTTTTAATATTCATTACATCGTTTCCACACTAAGGAAAACATTTATCCTTTATTATTTTTGTTATGTCGTATGCTCTGAAGGGGTGCTCTTTAACATAAGGCGTTTTAAACCAAAAGGAATTACATTTCATCGGTAAGAGTGGTTTTATGAATTTATTTCTTGCAACAACTGTTTAAATAATCTTGCAGCTTTCCGAGGGGTGATATGTTTATAAAATGGATAAAAAGTCTGAGACTTGATCACGAATTTAAATGGTCAGAGAAATAAAAAAAGATTTTCTGAATACTGGAAGTCAAATTCGCCTAAAGCCTGATGCAGTTCCAAATTTAGAAGTCTTTTTAACTAATAAAGCCGAAGCTCCATCCACAAGTTCAGTTGAAACATTACATACCATACAAAATAATGCTCCATTTACTTCATCGATGTCATTAGATGATACGGCAGAGCGTTCTAAGCTTAACCAGAACCATTGGTAGTTTTATATTTTGTTAATAATTGTTTTAAATAAATATTATTTTCCCTGGCAGTGTATATTATTATTTTGGTGAATTGTCATCTAGTCAAGATACTTCTATAAGTACTGATAGCAGCACAAGGAGAAAACGTATAAAGTTTTTTCAAACCGAACATAGTTATAGGTATGTACATCATAGAAAAAACAGTAATTAGGTTATGCGAGTTATACACGTTACATGTATTTTGTCTCCAACCCCAACCAATAACTATATTGCTTAGCTTACATGTTACATTATTTCAGTATATCACCTGATAAAATTAAAAAAAAATATTCAGAATTACCGCAATAAGACAACTTTTAGTATTCACTGAAAATAAATTGCCACATGAAAAGGATTTCATGATTGTATTTGTTGCTTCTGTGGTACAACAATTTTATAATTGTGCAGGAGAGCTATGTTCTTTAGTTTAATAGAGCACAGTGTTATCACTCGTATGAAAGTCATTTATTAATTCTAACGAAAAGTGTTGTTTCTGCATATATGCGAATAAAATTTTTTAATTATAATATATAATATACTAAAAAAATTCAGGGACATCTAATACGAAAACAACAAAGTCAATATTATTTAATCATCAATAAATAAAATATGTAAAATCATTATTATTTGTTTATACTAGTTTATCTTTATATTTCAAAATAGAATTTTTTTTAGATATTTACCAATTTCTGAAAAAAACCTATTAAAATAAAAAATGTTGCTCATATAATTTGAATCTTTATTTTTGGTATTGCATTTTAAATTTGCCTCTCCCTGTTCCTATTTAAATTTCCCTAAAATTTATCTGTGTTGGCAACCATGATGTTCAAAATGGCGACCATTGTTATTAGCCGCTCGCGCAGGTTGTAAGAGCATTCTCCCCACTCTATATCGCTGTTTATAATCAACCAAGGACGTTATTTATGTATGGGCAGTGTGTCGTTCAACGGTTTTCGTTACACCAGTTTCATTCATTTCATTTATCATTTCATTTAAAAAGCAATTTTCACAAATAATATGGACATGCCAGAGAAATAAAAACATCAAGTTACAAGGCGGTTGCTAGGGTAATAAGTGTGTTTGTATTGTAGAAATTTATAACTGATGTCTAGCATAAAGAAGCGTCGCGTTAACTTTCATTTGAAGGTTTTCAAACTTATCAGAATAATAATTTTGAAATCAATTTCCATGTACCTACATTATAATGAAAAATAAAACCTTTGTTTAACAGGAAATCATCATAATTATCTAATAAATCTAATAAAAAATATGTTGTGTGTGTGCGTGTGTGTGTGCGTGCGTGCGTGCGTGCGTGGGTGCGTGTGGGTGCGTGTGTCTGTGTCTGTGTGCGTGTGTGGGTGGGTGTGTGGGTGTGTGTGGGTGTGGGTGTGGGTGTGTGTGGGTGTGTGTGTGGGTGTGTGTGGGTGTGTGGGTGTGTGTGTGTGTGTGTGGGCGCGCGCGCGCGTGTGCGTGTGTGTAACGAAAAACTATAAAATGTAATAAGTGACTTACTCAGTTTTACCGATCCATCAAGACCAAGCAAAATATTATCAGATTTGATGTCCCTGTGAATAACTTGATTAGAATGCAAGAAGTCTAAGGCCTGCAAAACCTCCCTGCAAACAGCTGCTATCTGCCCCTCGTCCATGCAGGTTTCCGTCACCACATCAGTCAGGGAACCACCTGGTAAATATTCCATCACAACCCAGAGTTCCTGAAACATGAAGAACTGTTAATCCTCGCTTCTAAGTACATTGACTTACAGTATTTACCTCATTAACTAGATAACTGTCTAAATAATTTACAACATTGCCATGTTTATTTTCTCGCATGACTAGAATTTCATTAATAATTAATTCTTTTTTAGGCTGCTGTGATAAATTCATTTGCTTAATGGCGACTTCCATACCAGTGCCTGTTTCTATTGCTGTGTACACTGTACCCGAAGCCCTGAAAAAGAAAACCATTTCAGTCATACCTTATTCACCACGTAAAATTATATTACCCTTGGCCAATTTTTTCAATTTTCGTATACTTCCTATTCGGATCCCCTACAGAGACAATACTTCTTAATTTCTCTAGAATTTCTTCGTCGCTCATTTTCTTTTTTCTCTTCTCCGATGCTGCTCTGGACATTTCGGGGCCAGCTTGATTCTTGTTTCTATCAAGAAGTGGGGCTGAGGAAGTGCTGTTTGTATTGGAATTAGCGGCATGTGTCGGCGTTGTTTGAACTGGACTAAGGCTGTGGGGAGTGCTAGTGTTCGTATTAGCTGGTGGAACTTCCTCAATAGGCTTAGTGTACTGCAAAAAAAAATATTTTTTTTAATAGTTAGCATTACCCATTTTATGTAACTGCTACTTACAATACTTTTGGTACGTTCAGGCCTGCTAGCAATAGGCGGTGGTGGGGCTTCATCTTCAATTTCCAAACTAGGTGCATGTGCTGGACTGTGGTACGATTGTGGGCCCCCTTCGGCTTCTGTAGGGGTTGTACTACTGGGGCTTGAACTTGACACACGACTCAGTGATGAACCTAAGTATTAGTAAGCAATGTCACAACACTGACAGATTTTTTTTTTTACTTTTTTTATCATACACAGAAGTTCTCAAAGGAAGTTTCAATCATGAAAATGACAGCTGATCTATAGAGTCTGTACGTTCAAGTCGTCAATATCAGTTCAAGTGTTTCAGTAACATCCAGTTTAATGAGAAGTCAACCATCACCTCGTTATTCAATGTTTCATTTAGTAAATTAAATTTTGTAGTATTTTTTGTATTAAACTTCAATAAATACATGTCCTGGGTGTCTGGAAATAAATAGGCCTTACTTAAAGAGTAGCTTCTTAGAAAAAATGAAAACAAACTAAATTAGATCAAGTTACTTTTGTACAATTTAGCTTCCTTTTTGCTTAAATGAGGCTGAAGGCCGATTTTGACAACAGAGAGCTTGAGTTTCTTGTTAGGAGCTAGAGTTAACCACTTGATAGATCACGTCGCCAAGGGGGGCAGGTGCCTAGAAATCGAATCGAATTTTTGTATGTGGTCCAGAAGTCGAGATAATGAAGATTTTGAAATTAAGAGCACTTTTAAATGCACGAATTCAGTTTTCGGAGCGGCCATCTAGTTATTGAAACTATTACCACCACGCATTAAAGTAGAACATTATTAGAGATTTAATCCCATGTCCATAGTTATTTCTAGGCTTCTCGAGTGCTCAAAATTTAAACAAATTCCAATCTATTTTTTTTTTTCAGGATATTCATACAAATACATCTGACATGCTCTTTCATAATTGTGGTTACAGGTATCATAAATTCCGATAATATTATGCTGATCTTCATTTTCAACCTTTGCCAAAACGAAAATGTTTTTGTACATTTACTGAAATTTTTTAAAGAATAATATTCAGTTGGCATTTTTAAGAATTAATTTGTGATAAAATTAAAATTGTATTGTATTCTGTATGACTAAATGATGGTAATAATTAATAATAATAAATGTTGTATAATAACGTATGGTGGTAATATGTAGTTTAAATAACTAGATGGATTTCACAGGGTCTAACGACACTTACAGTGTACCATAGTTCGATAAGTTGCCATGAGAAAGTGTTCTTTTTTTTTCAATATCACCTCAAACAAGGCAGAAATGAAACAAAAACGGATTGCCAAAATTTCGATTTTTTCAAATATTTCGAAAACTGATCATGTTAGCCTTGATTTTTTAGAGGCATAATGTTGGTCCCCTGATTACGCAAATTTGCCCCCATTTAAGCTAGTTCCTATCTCTTACCGTTTTCGAGATCTCTGTAGTGAGAAGCGAATTTGTAACAGCCTGTATGTAACGCACCAATTTTTTATATTTTACAATTTTCGTTGAATTTCTTTATTTTTTTAGTCATTTATATATTTTTTTTTCTTGTATCAAAAAGGTTTTATTAAAAATATTTCTAAAAAAAATTAATTCATTGTACCCATTTCTACCTATAATTTATATTTCTCCCATCCTCTCTCTTATCTTGCCCCCCCCCCCAGCCCATTGGTTGGCGAAGCCCTTAGATATCACGAAAATTCTTTTGGTTTAAAGGCCGTATGACACTATCAACAATTCTCTACAAAATTTTTGGAATAATTATATTCTATGTTATTTTTGTAATTGCATGCATAAAACAAATCAAACAATTTTGAAAAGAATTCTGTCAAAACTTTAAAACAATTTTTATGAGAATCTGCACGAGAAATTGCGCAGTGTGCAAATTGGAGTAATTACCATCTCCACCACCTGTGGTCAGTGGTCGGTGGTCTATGGCCCGTTGTCCAGAAAGATATACATAAACAAAACAAAAAACAAAGCATAATCTTATAACCTTAAGAAAATCCAGACATGCAGATAGGGATATCGTCAAGAAATTTATAAGATTCTTGGGAAAACATTGCATATGCACAGAACATATAAATGAAAATTTTTATAGGTCCCTTCAAAATTTCACAACATAGAATCAGTCTTAACAAGTGGTGCCACATAAAACCAGTTAATACGCATGCGCATCAATATAATTTTACTCACAATATTATATCCCTATATAAACCTTTTTATTTTATAATTTTTATTCATAATGGCGTACATAAATTAACTAAAATTCACATTTTTCTAACGAAAATTACCATCAAAATTTTATAAGTAATTTTGTTGTACTTTCATAGGGCCTTAAGTACGTACCTCTAACCTCAATAATCACAAATTGAAATTATATCTCAAGTTCCCTTTTAAATTAAATAGTTATTGCAAAATGTACAGCCACACTTATTTATATACCCATGTTCCAAAAAGCGAAAATTCTGAGACCAAGAGAGTAACGTGTAAGACATAAAATATTTAGACAAAGAGAGAAATGTTTAATTTTTTGAGAAAATGTCAAAGCACAGTTAACTATAGTTAAAACTCTTTAATGTTTGAATATGACATTTAAGTAAGTAAACCTGATTACCGAGTTGGATGCTATACATATAACTATTAATTAATCTGTTTCAGAGAAGAATAGATTTAATTTTAGTATATTTACGTGCATTTCAATCTAATTAAAGTTCACCCTCTTCTTAAATACAAGGTGTAGCAGCGATGTTACAAAAAATTTTTAGAGCTGATTCCTTTTGTCTCAAAGCATAAGGTGAGCGAACTTCAAAATTCGAAGAGGTTTCGAAGTCAGCTATCAAAACGCTTGAAACCCATAATTCTCATAAAAGAATGTTGGACGAACTTTCCAAAATTCATATTTTGGGCCAAAAACTAATTACTAATGAAACTCCAAGTAAGCCTCTCATTATCTAATGAGATGTAATATTTGAATAGAGGTTAGTTTATATCATCCATAATAAGTATTAAACATTGATAGGAATCTGAAATGATGCTTTTTAGTAACATAAAAATATCTTCTTTTTACAGGAACTTCAATGTTATTCTATAAAATATCTGCATTTTCTTAAAATTGTTAAACAAAAAAAAGTACATAAAAGAACAAAAGCCTTCTTCCGGTATTCAATCAGTGACTTACGTTCATCTTCAGCCCTCTAAAAACCTATATGCAAAACCTCTATACAAAATTTCATTGAAATGTCTTAAAAAGTAACAGAATTAGGAAAATAAAAAACAAACTAAAAATGTTTTTAAGGCCTGGAAGATAATCTAAATGGTTTATTTTCTTTTAAGAAAGCTACCGTTGAAATATGGTCCATTCGGTTTTAGACACCAGTAAAATGTACATGTTTTAAAAAGAACTCAAATTCCAAATTGTAATGCTTTTAAAATTCAGAATACCTCATGAATTAGTCATTTCTTTCATTAAAGATATGCTAATGTATTAATTCAACTACAAATGTTTTATCACTGTTTATCAATTCAATTTACAAACACGTTTTATGATAAATGGATATCTTATAGTTCATATGAAATATTGACTCTTTCACTCACCAGAATGTGTGGTGGTGGTAGTTTTAGTCATATACTTCGTATCTGGGGGTTCTTTTGAACTTGTATCATACCAATTAAGAACATCTAACACAGCTTGAGGATTATTCTTTTGCTCTTGTTTACTAATGTTGGAATTCATTAACAACCTGGACCATGCTTCTGGCATACCCTATAACAAAATAAAATATTACAGTTCAGGAAATCATTAAATATGACAAAAAATGGCAAGGCATCAGAATATATTCTAAAATAGTTAACAGTTGTATTAGTGCTGCAGAAATATTTTTAAAAAGTTAGATTCGAAATGTTTAAAAGGAAAAATATTCACCCTCTTTATTCCGTTTCATCAATCGATAAATGTCATTGATGCAAAAACAATATCAAAAATGATTTGTTTTATTTCAACTAATCATTTCTTATGAACTCTCTGACTGATCTTTTTATTATAAAAAATAAGTAGCTTTACAAATACATTGTTATGAGAAAGATAAAGGAATTTTGTTACAGAATAATGTATCTATTAAATTATTTATTCTATTGAAATTTAAAAAGATGAAAAATAATATAACAGAAAAAACGGGTAACCTTGATGCAATTTCATATTTCTGACTTCCCCCATATGCTATAAGATGTTAATGTACTATGAAGAATGTTATATTTGTTTAAAAGCAAGTAAAATTTTCTACTACTAACTCAAACAAAAAAAGTTTTATATTGTGAACACTTCTGCCAGACAGGGTCATTGATTAAGAATAGATTAAAGTTTAAGCCTGGTTTTCCAATTGTTGTTTAGCACCTAATTTAAGGTTAACTAATAATTTATTTTCTTATATTTTAGCCAAAAAGCAACCATCTACAAAATTTACAAATGAGATGTGAATTATTATAGGTTGTGATGGAAAAAAGTATTCTTTAATGGAAGATTTCTTATGTTAAAATAGGGTTGGCTAAATATAATTAAATATTGCTTACTCCTTTTCAACCTACAGGGTGTCAAAGTTAAAAAAATAATATTTGGCAATACTAAAAAAATTATTGCACTAAACCAGAATGATGAAAATTTAATTCAATGTGATTAAATTTTCAACATGATTTGGTGCAACAGTTTTGGAAATGCAGTGGAATCTCTCTTGGAGACATTAACGGGATCATGCAAATTTGTATATCAAAGGGTGGTGTTCTAGTGGAAAATGGAATACATTTATATTTCCAAAATATGATGTCAAAATTTCCATGTGCCATTTTCAAGGTCGCGTACCCCATAAAGGTATAACCGAATAAACTAATGAAATAGAAAATCAAAAGCAACTAGTTAATGAGATCGAGATATCCCCACAGCCAATCTGCACCCTACCTAGGGCCGGATTAACCTATGGTGAGGCCCGGGACTACAAGCTCTATACAGGCTCCCTCCCTTAAGCTGGCCCTGACTTACCTGCCTAATATTCACTTCTGTAATTATTAATTAACAGCAAAGATTCACCTTAAATAATTAGGCGTTCATTATTATTTATTTTATATTTATTCTAGAAAAAATATGATCATATGTGTGCTAAAAAAGAGAGTCAGCCCAAAGGAGAATAACAACAATGCAATTCTTACGGAAAGCTGCCGAGACCAGACGCCACTGCTTCATATGAGGTGTCCGTCTCTTGGCGGGAGGGGGGTCCATTAAGGGATATTTGACTGTATTAACAGTAATTTCTCTTTTTAACTGACACCATGTAGATTGCAAACAATATTTGACTAAAGTTCAACTGCCCTATTTTGACCCAGGAATCTCTAAATAAAGTGTTTCATTTTTCTGAAACATTCTGTGTATATTAATGTATACCAGGTAGGTACCCGTTTTTCGAGCCACACTATGGCGACCTTAACTGTCAGAAGAAATTCAAGGTAGCTCAAATTAGGGGAAATCTGATGACCTATAATATACCAAAGATAAATTTAATACATCTTTTTTTATTTTGAAGTTATGTACAAAAAGTGAAAATGTTGATATTAGTTCGAATAGTAGTAGTCTCTCACAATATCATTATTCAAATATGTTGTCGCATTAGCCATAGAGCTTGTCAGAATGGAGAAATAACAATCAATTGTTGTTTTTCTTAGGGAAAATTTATTAATTTAGCTCACTCCTCTAATCATATGATGTGTCATATGATACGATTCGCTTTTCTGTTTTGATCGATTCCGATTATTTAAACTTATGAAACTCAAACCAAAATTTTCTTGTGAAAAAGAACGATATACATATAGGGTGTCTTTCAGAGACTACTTCTAATTTAATTTTGAAAATTTGGGCAATAGTGTTTTCGGGTATGCACTTCTCAACTAAAATAATGGCATCCACCTAATGCTTCCAGTTATACCAGAAGTTAACGTCATCTACGTTATTTTAAATGAACACCCTGTATATTATTGCAATTTCGGATGTCCAAATTTTCAAAATTAAAATCGAAGTAGTCTCTGAAATATGTCTAATGTCTTGTCATCATGGGATACCCAAACTTCAAATTTATTAATTAATTGTGACTTGTTTGCCTCGATGAAAATTTAACTAAACTGTCAAAATTGAATTTTAGATAATAATAATTAATTTCTATTCAAAGCACCTCTTTGTAAATGAAATAAAAACAAAAATGAACTAAATTTAATAATGCGAAAATTCAATATGGCATCCGTGAGAAACACAAAAGTTAAATGTTGTTCATCTGTCGTGATAGGTGCCCTGACTAATACGACTACATATTTGAATTTTCCACAAAAAAAATATCCTAATAATGTTTGAGTTTAAAAAGTCCATATCTTTCTTTTTTAAAAAAGTCTAAATCAAAATTTCAGTTTCAAAACAAAAAACAACACAGCCCCACAAAAAAAAAAGTATCGGATCTAGTATTCAGACCCCTGCATTTCCATGTATTTTTTTCCGCTGAATCCGAATCTGCCTTCAGATTTGGCCCAACGGGTCTGAGCTTTCGAGAAAATTCAAAAAACAGGTCAAAATTCACAAAAAAACGTAATTTACGATCTACGAAAGTTATAAAAAATCAAATTATTCTACCAGCTCACTAGATGTATGATTTTTCACTCGTTTAATTCCAATTTATCATCATAGAGTCAGACAAGCTGGTCCAAATTCATTCAAAAACAGAAAATATATTAAAAACGCCATTTTCATGGCATAATTCGTGTTGCAGAGTTCTGGATCCATATTTTTATCCACCCACCCATTTATGAATTCATACATCTTTCTATCATCCACCTGTACCACCTATAAAACCCACCCATCTATCCATCTACTTTTTGTACTGAGAGATAGAGATGAGATAACATCCTAAAAGATTGAGAATGCAATAAAACTTGTAGAATACTCTACTTTCTAAACAAAAGAAAACGATATCTACAAATCATTCTTATTTTTGTTGCTATAACGTGTTCTCTTTTCTTCAAAGGATCTATGCAAAGGGTTACGCTTTCGTTTAGTCACTCTATTTTTCGTTTCTCTGTTTAACAACCAACAAAAATCGGCCATCATCCCATCTTACTTGATAAAGCTGTTCTATAACCTTCATATACTGATGAAATCGTTCGCCTTGTTCTTCGCTATAATCTCCAAGATTTTCAGGAAACTAATCCAGATGTGAATGAAGGAAGTGCAACTTGTAGTTTATCAAACATCCCAGATCTTGGAAGTCTTTTATCATTTTCGATACAATTTCTTCGTATTTAGGACTCTTGTGGTTTCCTAAAAGAATTTTCGCCCTATATAAGTCGAAAATTTCCAAATACTTCTGAGGCGAAATTGAAAGAAGGTGTATTCGATGGACTTCAGATTAGGACATTGTTCAAAGATGCAACATTCATCACTACAATGAGTAGCATTGGCAAAGAGTGCTTGGACTAGTTTCAAAGCTGTAGCGACAAATTTTTTAGGAAACAAGAAGAGTCCTAAATACGAAGAAATTGTATCAAAAATGATAAAAGAATTCCAAGATCTGGGATGTTTGATGAACTACAAGTTGCACTTCTTTCATTCACATGTGGATTGGTTTCCTGAAAATCTTGGATCTTGGCGAAGAACAAGGCGAACGATTTCATCAGGATATGAATGTTATAGAACAGCGATATCAAGGAAGATGGGATGAAAACATGATGGCCGATTTTTGTTGGTTGTTAAAAAGAGAAACAAAAAATAGAAGGACCAAACGAAAGTGTAACCCTTTGCATAGATCCTTTGAAGAAAAGAGAACACATTATAGCAACAAAAATAAGAATGATTTGTAGATATCGTTTTCTTTTGTTTAGAAAGTAGAGTATTCTACAAGTTTTATTGCATTCTCAATCTTTTAGGATGTTATCTCATCTCTATCTCTCAGTACAAAAAGTAGATGGATAGATGGGTGGGTTTTATAGGTGGTACAGGTGGATGATAGAAAGATGTATGAATTCATAAATGGGTGGGTGGATAAAAATATGGATCCAGAACTCTGCAACACGAATTATGCCATGAATATGGTGTTTTTAATCTATTTTCTGTTTTTGAATGAATTTGGACCAGCTTGTCTGACTCTATGATGATAAATTGGAATTAAACGAGTGAAAAATCATACGTCTAGTGAGCTGGTACAATAATTTGATTTTTTATAACATTCGTCGATCATAAATTATGTTTTTTGTGAATTTTGACCTGTTTTTTGAATTTTCCCGAAAACTCAGACCCGTTGGGCCAAATCTGAAGGCAGATTCGGATTCAGCGGAAAAAAATACATAGAAATGCATGGGTCTGAATACCAGATCCGATATTTTTTTTTTTGTGGGGCTGTGTAATTGGTCTTCAAATTTTGCATCATTGCCCTGATTTGACCTGAACTGTATCTTTTAAGATAATCGAGATCCTCACAGTGCAGCATGAAAAATGGATACCTACTAATATTATAGAAGGTGCAATAACAGAAAATTATTACTACAGTTACTAAATTCCTAATAGCTGTTTTACATTGACAATTTATTGTTGAATTAATTCATGAAGTCGCTTCATCAAGAAATTGAACAAGTGTAATGCACCAAATCAGCTGTCAAATAAATTCATGAATTTATTCATCAAGTTCTTGACAAATTAAAGCATGTCCTAATTTTCGTCAATTTCTTAGTGAAGTTCGGAAGTACCAACACAACAGATTTCCAGCCTCAGATCAGTAATGAGGTTATGTTATTGGAATATGTAAATAATTGTGTGGTGTCGTACTAGTTTTGCATTGTTCTTACTGATTTGTTACTTACAAACACTAATATTTATATAATATGTGTCAAAACGGTACCGCTGTTGTATCAATACAATAGAGTGGAAAGGTGACATTTTTGAAATTTATTTGCTTCTATAATTCGTTGGTAGAACTGATTCATGCGTCAAAAAACTTGACAAAGTCTGTAGCAGTGTAAAACTACACTGTTTACCAATAAATTTGTGCATTAATTCATGAAGAACTTCGTCAATTTATTCATCAATAAATTGTCAATGTAAAACAGCTATAATAAATATACTTGAACATAAGCCTCAACCAGAGGTGGACAACTACTGATAGTTCACAATAAAATCTCACTGTTGATACTGTCGATACTATTTGAATAGAAAAGAGAATATTGGACACAGGAATCTGTATAATCCACAATCTCTATGAACGTAGATGTATCTGATAAAGCAAAAACCAGATACCTATACCTAAAATAGTATCTACATTTGTGCATTTGTATGGTTTTTGTTTAATTTTGACCTTCCTCATATGTGTTTGTGCTCAGATTTGTAACAGGCTTTATACAGGGTGTAACTAAATAAGTGTAAAACATTTAAGGGGGTGATTCCTCATCGAAAAAAAGATAGGATCTTTCATATCACGAAACTTCATTGGAGCATCCCTTGTTAAGATACAGCCCCTTAAAGGGGGTACATAAAAATTGTTTAACAATTTTTTTCACAAGCACTAAACAAGTTACAATATTGAAATTAACCTGACATTTTCTACTACCAAAAAGACACTTAGCCAGTAATTTATTTGGTTTACCCCATGGTTGTAAGGGGTGGAAAACGCAACCCCTAAAATTTATTTCCAACGTAATTTTTTGTCTTATTATTTTTTTACCATTTAAAAATTTATTTCCGATAGCCTGTTTCATTCTAAAAAAAAATGTCTCTTGAATTTTTTGCCCAAATTAAACCAGTTCGCAGCAAAAAATTATTTTACGAACAAGATACATATCGCCATAAAACGAAAATACGAAACTAATTTATCTAGTAGGCCGCCATTAGCGATACTGACAATTAAATTGGAATCAAGCTGTCAGTTTGTAAATTTTTGAAATTGAAGTAATACTAATTGTGTATTGTTCTGTTCTTAATTTGTTACTTTAATAATTCACTTGTTATTAAAATGGCATACACAAATGAGGAAATGGCTGATATGCATTACGTTTACGGTCTGTCGCAGGGGAATGGGTTAGAAGCTTCTACAAGATATGCTGAAATGTATCCTCAACGGCAGCATCCTTCACATAGAATATTTGTCTGACTTCATCAACGATTACGTGAATATGGTTCATTCAACAAAAGAACGCAGGATTGTGGTCGCCATCGAGAAGTAAGAACACCACAGCTTGAGGCAGCAGTACTTAATTTGATAGAAGAACAACCTACTACCAGTACTAGAAAGATTGCTTTCCAGCTAAATGTTGATCATATGACGGTATTTCGAATTTTAAAGGAACATCTCTTATACCCTTACCATCTGCAACGAGTACAGGCACTGTTACCGCGAGACTTTCCGAACCGTCTTGAATTTTGCAATTGGATGCTGGAAATGATTAGAAGAAATCGTGACTTTCTGAAGACGATCGAATTCACAGACGAATGTAGTTTTTCTCGGGACAAGATTATTAATTTTCATAATTACCACATATGGGCTGATGAAAACCATCACGCTATTGTCGAAACTAACCATCAAGAACAGTTTTCTCTTAAGGTGTGGGTCGGAGTTATTGGGGATTATTTAATTGGGCCTCATTTTCTACCTCCTCGATTAAATGGTGAGGCATACGTTCAATTTTTAAGAAAAGTGCATCCCCCCGTACTGCTGGAGGAAGTTCCTTTGGGCGTCAGAAGGGATATGGTTTTTATGCATGATGGGGCTCCCGCCCATTTTAGTCAAGTAGCACGTCAGCATTTAACTGAAACATATGCAAATCAGTGGATAGGTCGAGGAGGACCACAGAATTGGCCCGCTCGATCCCCGGATCTCAATCCTCTGGATTTGTCTACTTGGGGCCATTTGCAGCATTTGGTTTATCGTACTCCTGTTCGCGATGTAGAGGACTTAAGAAACCGCATTATCGATGCGTGCAGGGTAATTAGAGAGACTCCAGGAATATTTGAGCGAATACGTGGCTCAATGCGCCGACGTCTAGACGCATGCGTAATGTCTGAAGGTAGACATATTGAACATTTACTATGATTTCTACATGTTGTATGTTTTGTTATTATTAAATTAGTTTTGATTATTCCCCTTTAATCATTTAATGCAGGTAGTAACTACAAAATAACAGTAAATCCAGTCCGCATTTATGACGATGTATCTCTGTAGTTGTTCGTAAAATAATTTTTTACTGCGAACTGGTTTAATTTGGGCAAAAAATTCAAGAGACATTTTTTTTTAGAATGAAACAGGCTATCGGAAATAATTTTTTAAATGGTAAAAAAATAATAAGACAAAAAATTACGTTGGAAATAAATTTTAGGGGTTGCGTTTTCCACCCCTTACTACCATGGGGTAAACCAAATAAATTACTGGCTAAGTGTCTTTTTGGTAGTAGAAAATGTCAGGTTAATTTCAATATTGTAACTTGTTTAGTGCTTGTGAAAAAAATTGTTAAACAATTTTTCTGTACCCCCTTTAAGGGGCTGTATCTTAACAAGGGATGCTCCAATGAAGTTTCTTGATATGAAAGATCCTATCTTTTTTTCGATAAGGAATCACCCCCTTAAATGTTTTACACTTATTTAGTTACACCCTGTATACTAGTTTATTTTTTCGTTTATATTAATAATAAACGTTAATAAACATAATCTATGTACACATTTCTTTGTCGTACATTTTTAAGTTATTAATATCTATAGTTTCTATGAGGCACTACCGATATCTCAATTTATACCGTTAATGATATTTCTCCACCTCTAGCCTTAACTGTTTTAAGACATGCCTAACATTTTATTAATTATTTGTACTATGTAGAAAATTTAATAATTTCTCACTAACTTTTCTTAAAGGTATGATTGTTCAAAACATTTAGGTACAGATTATTTAAAGTTAATAAATGTTTGCAATAAAATATACAGGGTATATCCGGGTTTAATCCAGAGTCTAGGGGGTTTGTATGGTGCATATCCGGACTACGGGATTAACATCGATATATCGGGGTGGCATGGTAAAATTGGAATTAATCGCAAAAATTAATAATAAAATGTCCTGCCAGGAATTTTTTAAATCTCTGGAAAAACCTGAGCAATAAAAGATGTTTCAATTTCAAGAAGCTTTTATAACTAAAAAATATGATTTTAAAAATTGACCTGGTTCTAGCGCCAGCGATAAATATAACGTAAATTACTTACTTATTAAACAATAAATAAATAATACTTACTTTTCTCAAAAAAAAAAAAAAATGTTTTATTTCATAAAATTTTTCAAAAATCTCCGGGTTTGCTCTTTTTGAAAGGTGGCAGCCCTAAGGGTATCCCATAAATAAGTAAAATTTTTAACATATTTGCCTTAAATTTTGTACCCATATGGCTAACAAGCTGCTTATAGATTAAATAAATAGATACCTTAATATCACATAATGTTTTATGGAATTACTCAATATATTAAAATTTTTTCTATCCTAAATACTAGTTAATTTGTGAATTAGTTCACATTTTTGTTTATTATTAACATTACATTGCAACATTTTGCCGTTTGATCTGTGACAAGTAACAAAATTTTGAATTAAAAAAAATATATATCTTAAAAACTAAGAGGTTTTCGAAAGATCGATTTCGAGAATTTTTATTCGATATTTTTAAGTTATAAAGTATTTTCAATTTATTTATATAAAAAAATATTACTATCCATTGCAATATAGATTTAGAAATTTTTGGGAAGTAATTTTTTATATACTATTACATTCCTTAACTTAACAGCTTATATTAGCAGTAAGATCTATGATTACACACCCATACATTTGCAAGATTCTTCTTTCACTGTCAAAGGAAGATTTCACTGTTGCTATAGATAGATAATTATAAACTGGTATTCAGAGATTCAGTAACTTTAATATATTCTAACATTTTGACGTAAATTGCTTTTATTTTGGTTTCCAACTGATAATACAGCTGGTAGTCCAAACTTCTCAGCGACCCTTCATATATTGCATTTGTTAAAAATATAATTGAAACAGTTTAATAGTTTCTTCAGAAGAGAACGATATACCCCTCAAAACGTCAAGGAGTTTAAACCGATGATGCACCAACCAATCCGAAAATTGTTCAACCATTGAGACAATGAATGACATACTGCCAATATCAATGGCAGTACTATTTTGTCCTTATTTTTTTCTACACAAATTATGAATTCTTTCATCCAATTCATACCATCCAATAAACAATATCAGTAGAAAACAAAAAAAATTTATATTTCGAATCTATTTTTAAGAAAGTCATTTTAACTTATTGGTAAAATTGATGGTAAATACAGAATATTGAGAATATTTTGACTTGGGATCGCTAAGACATGTTAACACGTATTCAAAGAATTCGGTTTAACATGTTTCAGTAAAAAATTAAACGGATCTAGAAAATGTGTACTAATATTATTAGCATGCGTAGAAAAAAATAAAAGATTAAACACCATAGAAACTACATCTAAATGCAACTAAACAAAAAATTTGTGTAAAACACCTCTTTACTTACTTTTAAAGGCAGCTTGTAACAAAATATTCTCATTAATACTAAATGAATATAAAAACAAGCTCCTACACCACTACATTATAAGTGAATAAATTGAAACTCACCGTAAACTCTCCTGATACAGGATCAAAACCGACATGCACCGTATGTTCAAAATTGGTTGGGTATGATATATTTGGTTTATCCGAAGAATATGTTGATAATTTATGTGTTTTCTTTATTTTAGGATTTTTCTTTTTTCTATCTACATCGTCTGGTTCTTTAGGAAGAGGTCTGTCTACAGCTATAGAACTGTTAACCAAATCAGTCCCCCTATTTGATGTCAATCTGACAGGGGGTGCTGGAGGTTTCTCATCGTCGGATGACATTTTTACTAAAACATTTATGGTTTATTAATGCTATAAATTGTACGCAGAGCAAATGGAATTTGGCAATACTACTGCTGCCTTTATTTTTTTTAACCTAAAGAAAAAAATATTTTCAATGGGCGCGCCGGTATGCGTCAGACCCATTTGGAAAGCGACTTTTACAAATGTATTTACTTACATTAATATGACAGGCACAATTTTATTAAAATACACTAAACGCACTGAAATATTATCAGGGAATTAAAAATTGTCTAAATTAAGATAATTTAGATAAAGATATGTACAAAATCCATATCTAAATATCAGCAACTTCATATATGATGACCACCATTTTAGTCATCAAAAATTGATAAATCGTATACGTTTTTATTTCGCATCTACGTCAACTGCGACATTTAGAAAAGGATAATATAATAATACATTTGTCGAAACTTGATTTTTGGAGCGATAGGTAAGGTTTAGGGAAATTAAATATTTTTCAGTTTTCTTTTGAATGAATGTTTAGCCACAGAATAATGCATACAGAAGCGAACTTATATACTCCCGCCTAAAAAGTTTTTTTCAGTTAGAATAGATGTGCGTTCCGTAATTAGCTCAGAGAATTTCAGTAAAACGCACTAAAATTTGTGTTGAGGTGTTGGCGGCCTTGCTATAGAAAAACTTGGAAACTAGTTAACTAGTAGTACTTGTTCTTATCTATGACTATACTCGACGGCCAAAATTATAGATAGTGATTCATCGCTAGCTCTTGGACTAGTAAGGGGGATGAAGCGTGCCGGGAACGAAAATCCATTGGCGTGTCTGCGTAAAAGGCAACAAGATATAGAAAATATTGAAAAAACATAATAAAACATAACATCTAATATTTTTTACGGTTTGCTATAACCGCGCGCCATTATTCCGTGGCTAGAAATTGGCCTCAATGATTTGGGATCGAGGTGGATTATCCCTCTTTATCCTGCCTCATCTCGTGTAGGCCTGGACAGCCTTCGTAGGTGGGCCCCATCCGTCGTCTACCCCGACCGCAAATGCGGCCGGTGTAGGCGCTTTGTGGGACCTCCTTTTGTCCTGGCTGGGCCCCACAAAGCGCCTACACCGGCCGCATTTGCGGTCGGGGTAGACGACGGATGGGGCCCACCTACGAAGGCTGTCCAGGCCTACACGAGATGAGGCAGGATAAAGAGGGATAATCCCCCTCGATCCCAAATCATTGAGGCCAATTTCTAGCCATGGAATAATGGCGCGCGCGCGCGCGGCGCGCGTCGACACCCTGCAACGTAAAAATCCGAAATCCGGATCTTTACGTTCAGAGATTTTTAAGAAGGATCCGGTTCATTCGGATCACTACGAAGAGAGACCTCAGTGAACCGGATCAGTCATGCTCCATCCATCTCTACTCTGGACAAAGACAAAATGACAAGTGACATGTATCATGTATACTACATGTAATATTTCTACTTCAAATTATAAAAGTATTTATTAACTCTTTTTGTTATACAATTTTAACGAATACGAGAGCAATATGAAGAAAAAGGTTTGTTTTATTTAATAAGAAAATATGTGCTAATTACGTTTACTTTGTAGGTCCTATTAATGGGTAAAAGTGGATCTGGCAAAACAAGTATGCGGTCTATAATATTTGCTAATTATATTGCCAGGGATACTAGAAGACTGGGAGCAACAAGTAAATCATTTTCTGTAGAACAAACGAACTTTTCGTTAATTTTTAAATATTTGTAGTCGATGTGGAGCATTCCCACGTTAGATTTCTTGGCAACCTGGTCTTAAATTTGTGGGACTGTGGAGGTCAAGAGGCTTTTATGGAAAACTATTTTGCATCTCAGAGAGACAATATTTTCAAAAATGTTGAGGTTCTTATTTATGTTTTTGATGTAGAAAGTAGAGAACTTGAGCGAGATATGCATTATTATCAATCCTGTTTAGAAGCAATTTTGCAAAATTCTCCAGAAGCCAAGATCTTTTGCCTTATTCATAAAATGGATTTGGTAGCCGAAGATCAAAGGGACATTATATTTAAAGAAAGAGAAGCTGATCTAAAAAGGTTATCAAGACCTTTAGATTGTACTTGCTTCAGGACATCAATATGGGATGAAACTTTGTATCGGGCTTGGTCAAGTATAGTTTATATGTTAATACCAAATGTTAAAGAGTTGGAGAATAGTTTGCAAAAATTTGCTAGTATTGTAGATGCAGATGAAGTTCTCTTATTTGAAAAGGCAACTTTTTTGGTTATATCTCACTGTCAACGTAAGCATCATAGAGATGTTCATAGGTTTGAGAAAGTGTCAAATATTATTAAACAGTTTAAGTTATCCTGTTCTAAATTAGCAGCACAGTTCCAAAGTATGGAAGTTAGAAATTCTGCGTTTGCTGCATATATTGATATGTTTACCAGCAATACTTATGTTATGGTATGTATGTCAGATCCCCAAATTCCATCAGAAGTTACACTTATTAATATAAAGAATGCTAGAAAACACTTTGAAAAATTAGAAAAAGTATCTAGTTCTGCTCCTACACTAGGTCGTTAAGTTTTATTTTTGTTATTGTTATTTGTGCCAAATTGTTTTCATACCTATTTTGCTTTTTTCTTTTATTCTCAAGTCATATTTATTATGCATAAATATCAAGTCTGTTAGTTATTAATATAATTTTATTTTTGTATTAAGTAATAAGTTATGTATTAAAACTGCATGAAATATCTTCACAAACTGTATTTTATAAATAAAAATTTAAAATTACTTATATTTATTAGTTTAATCCCTAAGTTACTCACCACAATATTTACCTATAAGTATATATAAATGATTCAATATAACCTTTAATTGCATTATACCCAATATATCCAGTTTTAAAAAGCTAAATAATATATAGAGCGAGAGAGGCGAGTTGAATTTATCAGAAAATCAAAAAATGAATCAACTCGACCTAAATCTACTTTTAATTGCACGTAATTTATTTATACAACTTTCTCTGGACTTTGATAACGTTCAGTGACGTGATATACAGTAATAACCTGTTGAATATTTTAAATTTTTCAAATATGGACAAAATAATAAAAGGTATAATGAGATATCGATGCGAGACAAAAGAACAAATGGTTAAACAATTTCGTCAAGTTAAAGATAATCCTACCGTAAGTACATCATATATTACTTTATTATTTACCATTTATTTATATATTGTGTACCAAAACAATTCATTTTTATATGAGCATGCGCAAACGTTACTTTAATATGTTTTTTTAGCCTAAAGCTGTATTTTTTACATGCATTGACAGCAGGATGATCCCTACAAGATTTACGTCAACAAATGTAGGAGATATGTTTGTAGGTGAGGAAATGTTTCAATAATAATTTCAAAATAGAACATGTGCAGCTATATTGTTTGCGAGTGAAGTCTGAGGATCGTATGACACCTTTGAGCATATACCTACTAGAACTAGAGGAGCATATATAAAACCATTAGCTATCTCTCTCACTCCATAATGTGAGGTGCTGGAGGGGAATCACAGAGTCTGATTCTCAACCAATAAAATGACGGAGTGAGAGATATAGCTTATAGTTTAATTTGTTTTCTCTCTCGCACGTCTGTTCTCTCATTTAGCATTGAAGGCTGCCTCTAGTAGGTATGTGCTCGAAGTATGACACTATAGTACTAAAATTATAAATAATTTCAATAATTAATTAAGAACATTTTAATCTTGCAAAGTTTCATACACAAATTGCAACAAAAATTGTTGGTATTGTATTCTTAGAGCATATACTACTGGAGGCAGCGTCTCAGTGGCCAAGAGTGTAGCTGAGGTTAGAGAGAGAGAGAGAGAGAGGTATATGAGGGTATATACCTCCCTCTCTAAACCTCCTCTACACTCTCGGCCACTGGGACGCTGCCTCCAGTAGTATATGCTCTAAGGTTGTATTAGAGAATGAAGAGATTTAAATTAGCATCAGATCAAAAGAGATAGAAGTCAGATATTTACCTATATTCAGTCGGGAGAAAAAGCTTAACTATTACAAAACTATAATTATCTACACTCCTATACCTCTATCCTATATCTACTAATTGACCATCAGATTGCCCTACGTGGTCTTACTAAGGCTACATTGCGTTAAGTGATCGGTCTGACCAGATCATCAAAATCGTAATTCTAATCTGACCAATTGACTAATCAATAATCTCATCACCATAGTACAGTCAAAGCACGCGCCGGTCATATTTGACGCAAAGAGGACAAAGAGGAACTAAATATCAAAACATTACAACATATAGTTACAGGGTTAACTATCACTTTAGCAAGAAGAGCGCCAGAAGAAAGGGCCCTAGCCGGCGAGGCCCAGCCAGGACAAATGGAGGTCCCACAAAGCGCCTACACCGGCCGCATTTGCGGTCGGGATAGACGACGGATGGGGCCCACCTACGAAGGCTGTCCAGGCCTACACGAGATGAGGCAGGATAAAGAGGGATAATCCCCCTCGATCCCAAATCATTGAGGCCAATTTGTGGGACCTCCTTTTGTCCTGGCTGGGCCCCGCCGGCTAGGGCCCTTTCTTCTGGCGCTCTTCTTGTTTCGCCGGCTCGTCTGTGTAAACCCCCGGGGGTGGTGTCATGTTTGTGTATGGTATGGTTGGGTAGGGTAGTGCGGCTATGCAGCCTGGGATGCGCTTTGCTAAGGTGAACAGCTGAGTGAAATTATGTCGGATGACAGTTCATAACTGCCGATTTACCGGGAACAAAGGGGGTTTTACCCCATTTTTTAAACATCGAGCTAAAATTCCGAAATAATTTTTTTATTACATTTTAGGCCTTCCTGAGCGCGTGGTTAAAATTTATGTACTAAGTGATAGTTAACCCTGTATAATAATAATAAAGTTAGAAATCGCGCACTATTCATATTTTTCGCCCTACCGTCCTTAGCCGATGCCTGACAAATCCTTTTATCTGGATATGACGACATGCGCGAATTTTATGCATTGGTATACTTAAAATAATTTGGAAGTCATGAAATATTTAAAAACTTTTTTTATATTATACATTTTGTCCATAGTGAATAAATGTTATGTATTATCAAAAGCTGACTAAATTGGAAAAGCTCATCTATTAAATTTCGTATGCTTAGTAAATCCTAACATTCTTTTAGTAAGAAACGCTGGGAACATAATTCCGCACTCCCAACATTTTTTGAACGAACTTACGACAAATGAACCAGCAGCACTGGAATTAGGTTGTGTAGTAAATGATATCAGACATGTAATAGTTTGTGGACATAGCGACTGTAAAGCTATAAACCTGCTGTATAAGTTACAAGATGTGAAATTTGCTTCACAGGTATGTTCAGTTAATTACTAAGGGACATTTTCGAGTAAATTTATCTGTCAGTTAGATCCAAGTCTGTTGCTTTCTTATGCACATGTGTTTTATGAGACAGATTTAGATTTAACTGGAAGATACATTTATCAGAATGTGAAAAAACCCGACATAATTCTACCAATAATTGTTTTTTACATGTTAGAATACCTATTATTACAGTATGAAATTTCAGTATAAGTTCAGATTCTTTTCAAATTCCTTTATTTCGCCAATCACAGTATAATACGAAGCAAGTTTTATTAAATATGTATCTAATAACGTAAGAATAACAAAATGCTTTAGGAAAATAGAGTAGATGACAACAAAGTACTGAGAAATTAGGTACTTTTACTTTTCTTTATAATATTAAATAAATTGGCAATAATGGCAACAACCTATGCTAAACCTTCGAACTTATTTACCTCAGAAACCCGGCTTATTTTGCTGACCCGGTGCCCGGTACATCGGTTCCGGATTCTCGCAGGGACCCTGCTCAGTGAGCCAGCCGGCAGCCGCCGCCATTATTCCATGGCTAGAAATTGGCCTCAATGATTTGGGATCGAGGGGGATTATCCCTCTTTATCCTGCCTCATCTCGTGTAGGCCTGGACNCCTGATCGTAACAATTCCCTCTACTAGTGTTTCGGTTGAACGAAGTTTTTCTTGTTTAAAAAGAATTAAAACTTATCTGCGCAATTCGATGACAGAAGACAGATTTACAAATTTAGCAAAAATTTCTATTGAAAAAGGACTTTTGAATGAACTTATAAGTGCCGAACCATTTTATGATGACATCATCGATAAATTTGCAGCTTTAAAGGATAGAAGAATACACCTTATATTTAAAAAGTAGATGAACATGTACATGGACATGGACTTGGATAAGTTCCTAAAATTTTTTTTAATATGACGAATTTGCCGCTTAACATCTGTATCTGTACCTATCATTAAGTCCACAAGCCGAACTAATATTTCTATTTTTTATAAAATCTAAATGAAAATCCTTCTCGCCAACGTCAATTTTTCGGTAATATTGCAAATGCAACTAAAATTTCCAGATTAATTTAAAGCCGTTTGAAATTGAAAATTTGAAAATTTTCGCCTGCGGCGCTTTTTTTTAGTCAATCAATGCTTCACCTATTCTCAATGTCACGAGCCGCCACTGAAACTGAGGATGTTTCCACCTTTGAGTAAGGGATAGAGCCTAGCCCTGGTGGTCTTCGCTCGCGCTACCGTCTCCACGATGTACGGTTTCCACATGAGACGCTGGTCCATCCTCACGCCCAGGTATCGTGTTTGTCGATTCCAGGAGATGGGTTCCTGGGATAGTGTCAGTCTGTCGAGATTTTGTGGGATATTTCGTTTGGTAAAACGGATAGCCGAACTTTTGTTGGGATTAATTTTGACTTTCCACCTGTTACACCAGGTTTCAAGTTGTTCTAAGGAGTTTTGGAGAAGGGAGGCGGAATATCTAGGATCTACGGATTGGGATGTGATTGTCAGGTCGTCGGCGTATAAGTATATGTTGGTGTTGGGGGAATGTGGGATGTCGGAGTTGTAAATGGTGTATAGGTGTGGGGACAGGACGGTGCCCTGGGGGGCACCGGCCTCTATAGAACGGGTGATGGAAAGGGAATCTTGGATTTGGATGCGGAATTTTCGGTGATGTAGGTAGGATTTTATGAGTTTCGTAAAGGATATGGGATATTGGTTGGTGAGCATTTTCATCAGTAGGCCTTCATGCCAAACCGTATCGAAGGCCTTTGCGACGTCCAGGAAGACAGCACCAGTGTACTGTCCCCTGTTGAAGGCCGCCGTGATGTGCTCGGTAAGGCGAAGGATTTGGAGTTCAGTGGAGTGATTGGGTCGGAAGGCGAACTGCTCGTCTGGAATGACTTGCAGTTCTTGGGAGTGGGTTCTTAGACGGGTTAGGATAATTTTTTCTACCACTTTGCTCATAGCCGGGAGCAGGCTAATGGGCCGGTAGTTGGATGGGATGGTGTGATCTTTGTTGGGTTTTGGGATAAGGATTATGTTTGCTGTTTTCCAGCGGGTAGGGAAGTGTCTTAGTCTGAGTGTCGCGTTTGTTATGTTTAGTAGGGCCATGAGGCCCTTGTGTGGTAGTCGTTTAAGTGTCGTGTTATGTATATTGTCGGGTCCGGGGGCTTTTCTGTTTTTAAGTCTGCGTATTGTCAGTCTTAGTTCGTCAGGTGTTGCGGGGGGGATTATGTCATTGTCTGGCTCTCTGTCGACGCGTCGGGCCGCGCGCTCAGCCACTATCTCGAATTCCTCGTCTTCGTCGGGCAGCTGAGGCAGTCTACACTGCAGTTCCAGGCTATCGGCGAAAGCCTCGGCCTTTTCCTGGTTCGTGTAAACCACCCCCACACTACCGTGGATTGGAGGAATTTTACGGCGAGCGGTCTGTCGCAGGGCCCTCTGCGTTTTCCAGAGGCTGTTGTCTTGTGGATCCAGCGACTCCAGGTGCCTAGCCCAGTTATCCTGGGCCAGTTCATCCAGAGCCGCCTTCACCCGTCTGTTAAGTACGTTTAAGTCATGTCTGTGTCGGGGGAGGCGGGTGCGGGTGGCAAGCCGTTTCGCACGTCGTCTGTCACGTATTAAGTTTTTTATGTCATCGGGGAGGGTGCCCCGGGGGTTTGTCAGTCGGGGGACAATAGTCTCCGTCGTAGTCTGAGTCAGGGCGTTTTTAATGTCAGTCTCAAGGGAGAGGATTGCCGCCTCCAGATCATGGGTGGTTTCGATGACTGGGAGCGCCATGTTTCCTTGCATTACTGTTCGGAAACGCTCCCAGTCAGTGAACCTCCTCGTGAAGGTGCCTTCATATCTCTGTCTTCGCCCCAGATCCAGAAATATTGGATTGTGGGCGGAAGACCCTTCGTATTGGGTGGATATTTGGGCATTTAACGGTATAGATTTTAAGAGGGCAATGTCGATAACGTCGGGGCGTCCTACGGGTCCGTAATGTGTCGGTTCTGTCGGTCCGAGTATAGTCAAGTCGTCGTGTCTGTCTTGGTAATTCAGCAGGACGCGACCTCTTGTGGTCGTCGTCCCGCTGTGCCATATGGGGGACTTCGCGTTGAAGTCCCCGATGGCAATTGTCTGGGGCCAGGAAAGGATTTTGTCTAAGTCATTGTCAAGTAGTGGTAGTCTGGGTGGGTGGTAACAGGACACCACCGCAACGTCTCCATGCCGTAGCGATCTCACCGCTATCGCCACGGCCTCTGTGTTTTGAGTTTGGAGCCGCTGCAGCGGATAGTGGTCGATGCACTTCTTTACTATGAGTGCAACACCACCCCCGTTACGGTTTCTGTCATGTCTGTATATGTCATAGTCAGGGATGGAGGTACGGGATGCCTCGCTGAGGTAGGTCTCCTGGACAGCCATAACGTCTATGTTTAGACGGTTCAAGATGTCCACGAGTTCCGTTTTTTTGGCCCGGAACCCGTCAAGGTTCCAGGACGAAATTCTCAGCGAGGAGGGTTGGGAGGGCCGACGAGCCATTAGAAGTCGAATAATTTTTGCATATTCGACACCATGGTCGTCAGCTGGACGCAGAAGTCCTGAAGACGCTTTGTTGCGTCAATCAGGGCCGCCGCGCCCGGTTGGGAGGGTGTCGTGTCTGTGTGTGCGTGTGGTGAGGTGTTGTGTTTTTGTTTTTGTGTGTTTTGTGTTTTTCTGGTCATGTCAGCGTATGTGCGTCCTGGGGTTGTGTTTGGGGTGGGTAGGAGGGGCTGTCTGTGTGTTTGTGTAGTGTTTTGTGTCGTGTGTGTGTCTGTGTTTTGTGTTTTTGTGTTTTTAGCTTTGGGGTACTGAGGGCACCCCATATAGCTGGCGGGGTGTGGCCCGGCGCAATTTGCACACCTGGCGGGCGTGTCTTTGGCCTATTTGCAGACGTGCGTACTGTGGTTTTCGCCACATTTTACACATTTTGGCTCAGTTGTGCACCGGGTCTGGCCATGGCCGAACCGCTGGCACCGGTGGCACTGTGTGCCTACCCGCTGCTTTTGCTGCAGCTCTACTCGGACCACAAGCGAGCAGCAGCGGGTTACTTTCAGGATGTCCTCCTGGTCCTGTGGGGCCTGAACTAGGACCAGGGGCATTTCCTGTTTATTTTGACGGCTCGCCATGCGGTGCACTATTGCGCCGGGGAACCCTTGTCGTGCGAGGTCGAGTTGGACCTCTGTTCAGAGCGAACAGCCGAGCTGAGCAGACGTGTTTGTTTGTGAGGTGAAGTGATTGCAACGAGCAAAATCTACCTGCCCTTATTAAGGCTACCTGGAAAGAATCCCTTTCTTTCCATTTAATCACCGACCTAATCCCCGGCTTAAGCATAGAGGCCGTCGGCATCTTTGTTACAGCACCTGTGCCGGGGTTATGCCCAGGTAAGTTTTTACTTNGTAACAACAATGAACTCTTTCAAGAAAATGACGAAAGCAGTTCATAACTGAAATAAACCTAAAACATAAACTCTATGAAAATGTTCATAAATCGAAGGGTTATTTTATATAAATATATCGTAACAACAATGAACTCTTTCAAGAAAATGGCGAAAGCAGTTCATAACTGAAATAAACCTAAAACATAAACTCTATGAAAATGTTCATAAATCGAAGGGTTATTTTATGTACATATATCGTAACAACAATGAACTCTTACAAGAAGATGATGAAAACAGTTAATAAATTATATGAACCTACCACATAATTACCATGAACATTTCGTACACACAAATTATTTTATGTAAATGTGTCACGATATCAATGAAACCGATTCATATTTGCAACAATTATTCTTTCATAAAACCAATGAAATTTTAATACCACCTGAACATCAATGAAAAGACTTTCATTCTATGTATGAAAAATTTTATTGGTTGAAAAATAATGTACCTATGCTTTTTTGTTACAATGACATCTTTTTTTATTATCACATACCTTTTTCGTTTGGTGTGTCTTGACTTTATTTAACAAGTAATTGAACAACTAACCAAACCCACCACTACATACATTCCCAACAAACCAGCCAAGTATGGCAACCAAGTATTCGCACTTATAGATGCAAGAAACTTTTACATATTCAACTTGGAGGTTTATGTAGGCAAACAGACGGATGGACATTTTTGCCTGAGCAACAAGCCAGATGATATAGTTTTGCGGCTCGTAGAACCAGTTTAAATTCCAATAGAAATATCACCTTTGATAATTGGTTCGCAAACTCCACAAAC